TCTTCCCATGGTGTAACTTGGCATACCTCTTCCATAACTCTACTCTTAAAGCCTTTCTTAATTCCCCCATAAAACCAGCAGCAATTTTCCTGAGATTTGTCTTGAGGTACCCCAAGTGTTGTGTTGATTGACACGTGAGATTTTTTCTCCGGGTTTTTCTGAATTGGTTATTCTACATGTGTAAAATCACTCTTCCGTGCTCACCTGTGTCCAGCAGTCATGGTGAGTCTGATTGGTTCCAGGCATTTACCTGAGGGCTTCTTAGACTTTTTTATTACCACGCACAGATAATGAAAGCCTTCTTTCTCCCTTTCGCATCCCTTTCTTCTGCTCTGTGTGGCCTAACGGTACCTCCAGGGTTGCTCGTCTGGAGGTGAGCGAGTCACGGTCCTAGGTGTCCCGCCCGCGCCGAGTCACGGTCCTAGGTGTCCCGCCCGCGCCGAGGCCCGCCCGCGCCGAGGCCCTGGGTCAGCTGAGATCTCACGGCGCCATGCTTGTGCATTTTTAAAGCGGAGCCTTTTCACCCGGATGAGCACTTCCCCGAGTCTGGAATGTTCTTCCACGTGACGCCGGCTCAGCCTTACCTTCCTTCCCTCCGCCATCTCCTGGGACAGCTCGCCGGGTCAACCCCAGTCCGCCCCCATCAGGAGACACTAGGGCGGCTCCCAGCCGCTGACGTCACACGACGCACGCCTGGCGTTACTTACCTTCCGGGACAGCTGGCCCACCCGACACCCCCAGGCTCCGTCCCGTCGGGTGGCGCACCCCTCTGCATCAGTGCCGCCGCCCCAGAAACCCCAGGACGCAGGTCTCTGGTTCTGTCAGTTGTGGTAAGCAAAGCCTGGCCTTTGCACCATCCTTCACTCAGCGAATCAGTGACGTTAATGACGTGTGTCCTGTTGTCCAACCACTGCCATTATCGCGATTGCCCCATCTCCCTCACAAGCAGGACATTGCAGGGCCTAGGGGGTCACCTCCTGGGAGCCCAGGGCCAAGGCCAGGCATCTGTGTGAGGCTGATGTGTGACAGGAACAGACGGGGCGCACCTGGAACACCAGACTCTGCCGGGCTCTGTTCTGGGGCTTCCCGCACCTTTAACCCCACACTCCACCAACAGCTCCAGCGGACGGCGCCATCTCGTGCAGATGCCGCTGCTCTCGGTGTGTGCCATCAAGTGCACTCTGACTCACCGACCCTGTCGCACACCGTAGACGCGACCCAGAAGGTTTCCTAGGCTCTGATCTTTTTTCCTTTTTTTAAAAAATTTTTATTGTGATTTGGGTGGAAGTTTACAGAGCAAATTCGTGTTCATACAGCAGCTCACATACACGTTGCCTCATGACACTGACTACAATTTCCCACAATGCAACAGCTCCCCTCCCGCTTCCTGCCCATAGTTACCTCTTCCCTGTGTCCTTCCCTCCCATGCACTCCTGCCCTCCCTCAAGCTGTCTCCCTGTGCAAACACAGCCTTTCTAGTCTCCCATGATTGTTCTCTCCAAGGAGTGTACCTACCTAAATGTAAATGTTCATCTCATATGCCTGTCTTTTGTTTGGCTGGAAGCCACAGGAGTGGGTTCAATTCTAGACCTGAAGGGCAGCTA